TCTATCTCTAGAGTTTTTTTAATTGTATGTCTTTGATATGATTCCTACGACGAGGTTGAAATCTAGACTAGGTTTGCCATAAATACCTTTGCTATATTTATAGTATGGTGGTCTGGACATACAACATTGCAAGTTGATAAAAGCGTTGTAACGTTGTAATAATAAACGGCGGTTCGGTTCGTTGAAAGTACATCCGCCAACATTAGAGTGCAGATATATAATGTTAGAACGAGAAAACCTACAAGCCAATGTACCCAGAATGACGTTTGAAAACAATAATAAATCAAGAGCGGTGTAATTACCGTCAATATTTTATAAAATAAAATTTTAATTTTAAAAGCAAAAAAATATAGTGCTGTTTGTAGAAGCAAAAAAGAAAGGAAAATGAAATCGTATTGCTTGCGTCCGTATGTTGTTCTACTTGGACATGAGCCATATTGGAGAAAACGAGCAGACGCTATATGTCGGCTAAGGCGCTGGAAAGGAAGGTCCGAAACCTATCAGTACATCTTTTAAGAGTGGTTACGGTGATCGCTTCAAGTGTAACTTTTACATATCTTGCTACTTATTCAAATCCGCCGGTTACCACAAAGCTTGCATCAATCACTTTTAGGGAAAATTTTTTGGTTGTTTAATTATTTTTATTGATTTACTAGCAAATGCCTGGCTTTCTTCGCGACGCCTGATAAGAACTTTTGCGTTGAAAAATACTAAAATAGGTTTGAAATGCAAAAAGGGTTTATAATGTAAGCACTATTGGCTTCGGCTGAAAGGTTAAATCCTGCTGTACCACAGGAAGAAAGAGTTTTCCCGCTCAAACGGGGTAATTTATGTTCCTATCGTGTTCTTTTTAATTCTTCCCACTTCTTCTTGATATACCCATGGCCCGTTGATGTGTGTAGGACATCTGTGGCGCCTTAAAAATTTTGCGCTTCTTTGTATTCATACTTAAAGTATGGGGCTTTATTAAGTCATCTAAAAAGTAAATTTTGTATAGCGGTATCTAAATATCTTGATTCAAGCGCCATCTACTTTTTGGGTACGTTTTTTGCTGAAGTACTTCTTATCAAAAAATACCCGTTAACCCAGGTAGTACGGTAAAGACGGGTTTTTTAATATCTCGACTCCAGCACTATCTTTCGGTAGAACTTTTTGCAAAGGCACATATCGAGCCCTAACCGCCAAAATAACGTAAGCGACATTTTTTTTCAAAATTTTCTTTTGATGCAGAAATGCATATAGATGCCCTAGGAATATTGCTGCATCAAAAAGAAAATTTTTAAGAAAGTGTCGCTTACGTTATTTTGGCGGTTAGGGATCGATATATGTTATGATGCAGAGTATCCGGCGTCGTTCGGGGTAAACAAATAAAAATATAAAACAGTTAGAAAGATTTTCAGTTTACCATAAACTAAGGATAAAAACTACTTTTCTTATTTAATTTGAGGCCTCCTTTTGAACAATTTTTTTAATTTTGTGTGCGGTGTAGAAGTTTAAATACTATTCGGACATCCACATGTCAAAGGAAAGTCTCAGGAAATAGTGAAGACTTTTAAATTAAAATGGAAGGTCTGTCTAAATAAATAGGAATCCTTACAGAAACACATCTTCTCTTTTGCCGCATCCAGTAATAATTATTGCTGCAATTATATTGGTCATCATATTCTTTACTAAGAATCTTGTTTCATTATTAAGGTTAGGTGGATTAGAGTACCTAAAGAAGAATGAAATGCGCTTCAATTTTTTATTTATATTCCCTGAACGTAGACGCCATGCGTAGTGGGAGGTGCTACGACTTCTTCCGAACTCTCATTCCTGTTTAATTTACAACAGGTCATTCCGTTCAGCTGTCTTTTTGTAACACTCACTCTCTTTCAATTTACTATAAACGCCACATCCTCTTGTACAAACTCATTTGTATACATTTACCATAGAACTTCTCACCAAATTTCAAAGTCATGTGAGTTAGGGGTCCGAAGATGTGAGATTTCACGGCTATGGAATGTGCCGTGGCACCTTGTGCAAACTCACTAATATTTACATCGCTATAAGCGTCTACTTTATTTATGTCTTCACACTAAATTTCGAAGTCATGTGACTTATCGTTCCCAAGTTATATTTGACGCCTGCCCTTTTACAAACTTATTGTATACTAGCAAATGCCTGGCTTGCTTCGCTACGCCTGATAATAACTTTTGCGTTGACCAATACAAAAATAAGTTTGAAATACAAAAAGGGTTTGTAATGTAAACACTATTGGCTTCGGTTGAAAGGTTAAATCCTGCTGTTCCACAGGAAGAAAGAGTTTTCCCGCTCAAACGGAGTCGTTTATGTTCCTATCGTGTTCTTTTTAATTCGTCCCACTTCTTCTTGATATACCCATGGCCCGTTGGTGTGTCTAGGACATCTGTGGCGACTTAGAACTTTTGCGCTTCTTTGTATTCATACTTAAAGGATGGGGCTTTATTAAGTCATCTAAAAAGTAAATTTGTAGAGCTGTATCTAAATACCTTGATTCCAGCACCATCTACTTTTTGGGTACGTTTTTTGCTGAAGCACTTCTTATCAAAGATTACCCGTTAACCCAGGTAGTACGATAAAGACGGATTCTTTAAAATCACGACTCCAGCGCTATCTTTCGACAGAATTTTTTGCAAAAGTATATTTTATGATGCAGAGTATCCGGCGTCGTTCGTGGAAAACAAATAAAAATATAAAACAAATTTTCAGTTTACCATAAATTAAGGGAGATATAAACTATTTTTTTTATTTAATTTAAGGCCTCGTTTTGAACAATACTTTAATTTTTTGTGCGGTGTAAAAGCATAAATACTATTCGGACATCCAAGAATTTTAATTTAAAATGGAAGGTATGTGGAAATAAATAGGACTCCTTACAGAAACACATCGTCTCCTTTGCCGCATCCAGTAATAATTCTTGCTGCAATTATATTGGCCGTCATTTTCTTTACTAAGAATCTTATTTCATTATTAAGTTTAGGTGGATTAGAGTACCTAAAGAAGGCGCTTTAATTTTTTATTTAAATTCTTTGAACGTAGACGGCATGCGTAGTGTGAGGTGCTACGACTTCTTGCAAACTCTCATTCCTGTTTAGTTTACAACAGGTCATTCCGTTCAGCTGTCCTTTTGTAATGGGTCCTAGGTTATGGTTCTCTGAATGTACTCCATCTATTGGAGGTGCAACGCCCCTGTCAAACACTCACTCTCTTTCAGTTTACTATAAACGCCACACCCTCCCCCACTCATTTGCATACTTTACCATAGATATTCTCCCCAAATTTCAAAGTCATGTGAGTTGGGGTTCCGAAGATGTGATATTTCACGGCTATGGAACGAGCCGTGGCACCTTATGCAAACTCAATAATATTTACATCGCTATAAGCGCCTACTTTATTTATGTCTTCGCACTAAATTTTGAAGTCATGTGAATTATCGTTCCTAAGTTATAGCTGATTAAAGTTTTACGCCTGTAAGATGTTCCACGCCCCCTTTTACAAACTTATTATATATATGTATACTTTACTTTAAACATCTATCATAGATCTCTCTTCACACCAAATTTAAAAGTCGTGTGACTTACGGGAAGTTATTGCAGATTAAAAGTTTCACGCCTATGGGAGGTGCCACGCCCCCTTGAACAAACTCATTCATATATAACCTGCTATAAGCGCCTACCATGGATACGTCTTCATACCAAATTTCAAATTCATGTGACGTATGATTTCGAAGTTATGGCTGATTAAAAATTTCACACCCATAGGAAGTGCCACGCCTCTTTTACAAAAGTATATCTACTTTACTATAAGCATCTATCATAGATATGTAGGTGAACAAACCATATTTGAAAGTCATGTGACTTACGGTTTCGAAGTTATAGCTAATTAAAAATGTCACGCCTATGGGAGTGTTTCGCCCCCTTATCAGGTCCCATTTTTTTATACCCTAGGTTACGTCCGAGGTCACTCTCTATACACCAGTTAAAGCCCCATGAAAATCCTTTCAGTAGTTCCGGATATTAGTGAGTTCAAACAGACAAACAAACAAACAATTTACAGTTTTATTATAGTACTAGCAAATGCCTGGCTTGCTTCGCGACGCCTGATAAGAACTTTTGCGTTGACCAGTACGAAATAGGTTTGAAATGCAAAAAGGGTTTATAATGTAAACACTATTGGCTTCGGTTGAAAGGTTAAATCCTGCTGTTCCACAGGAAGAAAGAGTTTTCCCGCTCAAACGGGATCATTTATGTTCCACTCGTGTTCTTTTTAATTGGTCCCACTTCTTCTTGATATACCCATGGCCCATTGATGTGTGTAGGACATTTGTGGCGCCTTAAAAATTTCGCGCTTCTTTGTATTCATACTTAAAGGATGGGGCTTTATTAAGTCATCTAAAAAGTAAATTTTGTTGAGCGGTATCTAAATATCTTGATTCAAGCGCCATTTACTTTTTGGATACTTTTTTTGCTGAAGCATTTCTTATCAAAAAATACCCGTTAACCCGGGTAGTACGAGGAAGACTTTTAAATTAAAATGGAAGGTCTGTGGAAATAAATAGTACTCCTTACAGAAACACATCTTCTCCTTTGCCGCATCCAGTAATAATTCTTGCTGCAATTATATTGGTCATCAGATTCTTTACTAAAGGTATTGGCCCAATGCACGCTTGCTTTGCTTGCTTGGCTTTGAGAACTGTCAAACAATTTTTAAAATCTACTAAAATGTATGAAAGTTGGCCTAGTGGCAGCTTTACTTCACTTGCTTGAAGCGCTTTAAAGTATCGATTAGCCGAAATCTCTATTTGACAGCGCGCTGTAGGCTTTTGACAACTCTTGACATTTCAATTTTTCGCGTCGATTTTGCTTGTGTGCAGTTTTTATCGCGTTCTTCATCAATTTTAGGTAAAATAATTTATATTAAACAATTATTTGTTGCTAACAACATTATTTTTTCAGATACCTTGCTTTTTATCGTTCCGGCCACCAGATTCGTTGGTTTTCATAAAGTTGCATTTGGCTGTGCCACTTCCACCCGTGTTTATAAGGCGTAATATTCAACTGGAGGTAAAAGAGTTTATATTAAACAATTATTTGTTGCTAACAACATTATTTTTTTTCAGATACTTCAGAGACGAACTTGGCCTTATTTCGATGCTATGTTGTTTTTGAAAGACACGGTCACGCCCAGACAGTAAGTGTACTTTACATTTGTACAACAAGTATTTATATTTTAAATTGTAATTTATATGTACATATTTTAAGAACAACAACAAACATCGTCTCCCAAACGCCAGAAGTTCTCGGACAAGAACCAGATATACTGGATACTTCCTTTGGATTCCAAATAGGCGAGAGTGGGAACATTATAATAGAAGAGCAAGAAACCACTGCCCCAACGCCGGCTAAGAGACAAAAGAAAAAAAACGATGAGAACGCCGCCTTTAACGATCTAGTCAACGAAGTAAGTCAGTTTGTGGATAGTCAAAAAAAAAACACACACAACAATTTCTTGGGTGCGATTGGCGAAGTGTTTGAGAAGGTCCCAGAAGAGAGCCGCCTAGATTTTCAAATGGACGTACTTCAATACGTCTATGCTCAATATAAAAATTATAAAAATTGAATTTACGAAATTTAAAAATTTAAATGACATCCAGTTTGATTTCAAAGGTTTGACTGAAAGGTATATTGTTTGTAACCACTATACTGTGTAAAACGGTTTTAACTTAAAAGACTGAATGAAATATATGTTATGTTAACGCCATACTTACCTTGAACAAAAATTAATTTAAAAACCTGAAAGATGTGACGACATTTAAAACATTACCAATAAGTGCCCTCATACTGTGAGTTCAAATTTTTGTTTTCTATCTTAAATAATAAAAACAAAGCATATTCAGTGAGCAGTAATTATTTAAATTTTATTGTTAAAAAGATGTGTCTTCAGAGTATCCCTTAAATCATAATTATTTGAACTGCCTCGGTTCGATGACACCCTACTTATTGAGGGCAATGGAACTACTTCGTTTCGCCATGAGCCAGCGATGGTGGCATCCTCTTCGTAGCGATCAACAAAATCGCTTGCTACATAGTTTGCACACGAAAGCTTAATAAAATTATGCAAGACAATACAAGCTTTCACTATTTGTTCTGCATTTTTCGGGGCCATGCATAGCGTCGTTCTCAATATTCTCCATTTGGCAGTGAGTATTCCAAATGCGTTTTCTATAACTCTTCTTGCACGAGAGAGTCTTTTATTGAAATACTCTTGCTCTTCTGGAATACCTCTACCCGGATATGGTCGCATTAAATAACGCCGTAAGGGAAAAGCAGCATCTCCTACTAAATAATGTGGAAATGGCTCGGTTTCTCCTGGCAGAGGCTGATCATGTGGAAGGCCGAGCCTATCATTTTCAATAGCATCTGCCAGTTTTGAAAAGTGGTAGACACCGCCATCGCTTTGACTTCCATATGCTCCGATGTCAACGCAGGTAAAGGTATAATTGGCATCACATACGGCCAAAAGCACGATACTATAATTGCCTTTGTAATTATAGTACATCGACCCTGAATTCGCTGGACAGGTAATATTAATGTGCTTTCCGTCGATGGAACCAACGCAGTTGGGCATATTCCACAGCGACTTGAACTCATTGGAAATACGTCCCCATTCCGTTTCTGACGGGGTCGCCACATACAGGTCAGCTAACAGATCCCATATGGTCATACATGTCTCCAACGTAATCTTCCTGAAAGTCGTCAGGCCGATCCTGTGAACTATTGTGTGGAATTGCCGAGTGCCACCGTGAGCCAAATATCTGCAACAAAAAAATAAAACCAGATACATATATGGAAAATTATACGTATACTATTAAGTAAAACCGATTTTCTCTTACATCAGGGTTATAAATAGTCTGCAGCGACTCGATATTGGTGTTCTGATTGAATATTTGGTCAGCGAAGCCTCCAGAAATTCGTGCAGCACATTAAATAACGAAAAGGGCATTCTTAATGTCTTGTTAAACTGCTCCTCATCTGCAGCCAAGTTTCTTAATGAACTTTCAAACAATCCATATTTGTGTCGCTCTAAGTACAATTTCCGAACCCAAAATCGGCGCTTCTGTTTTAATCGCAGTTTTAATTTACGCATTTTCGCTAAAATTAGGAAAATTCTCAAAACTTGTTCAGCATTTCCAAAATGAAACTTTATGAAAACCAACGAATCTGGTGGCCGGAACGATAAAAAGCAAGGTATCTGAAAAAAATAATGTTGTTAGCAACAAATAATTGTTTAATATAAACTCTTTTACCTCCAATTGAATATTACGTCTTATAAACACGGGTGGTGAGTGGCGCAGCCAAATGCAGCTTTACCAAAACCGGAACGATAGAAAAGCAAGGTATCTGTAAAAAATAATGTTCTTAGTAACAAATAATTGTTTAATAACATATATTTTAACTAAAATTCACAATTATACTTGCTGGCACAACAAAGAATGGCGGGTATATTTGCGCGCATTGAAAATCAGCTGACTACTATGACAGCGTTCAAAGCTACCATTAGGCCATAAAAGCCTTCAAAGTAAAGCAAAGCAAACTAAAGTAAGCAAAGCAAGCAAAGCAAGCGTGCATTGGGCCAATACCTTAAGTCTGCTTACTGCTGCTTCCAAAAACGTACGTGAAAAAATTTTTGTTGTTGTTGTCCTACCACTGTTGTATGTATTATGATGCCTTGTGGTTTTGTGAAATCGTGTGCTTTTTTGTAACTGCACGACTGTGGTGTTCGTTAACCATTACATGAGTGGCGTGATTTCGTGCACATAGCGGTTTATAACGGTGCTGTACCGCTTAGTTATTTGGCGTCAGTCGCCGTTATGTATATATTATCGGTGTATGCTGCTGCTGCTGTTGTTGGTGACAGCAGGGCTCTCCGTTATATCCCTCGCAGTTGATGACAATTCAGCGTGCCGTTTTACGCGCCGTTACATATGGCAATATACGGGTTATGAGGTACTGCTGTCGTTGGTGGTGGCAGGGCTCTCCGTTATGCGGAAAAATGCAACTCACAAAGACAGTGTGGCGTTTAATGTGGCGCTATACCGTAGATGATGTACTGGTCCCCGTTATTGCCCACCGCAATAAAACTTTGCGCACCGACTTATGCACTGAGCCGCACGAGATAATGCAGGGTGTCAAAAAATTTATTCCATTTTGGTGCATACTCTCATGGTCACGGTCGCCATTTTGTGCCCTTTGTGCCGCCACCTTACCACCCACTACCACACTGCACACTCTAAACTAGTAACGCTCTGCTTACCGCAATATACTCCACTTACTGTCGTGGCCAGAAATTCGCTGCTTGAAATGCTAGGCTAGGGTGCTTTGGTATGCGCTGCTCCCCTAATCCTTTTGATATTTGCCGTCGCCGCTAGTATTGGCGCAAATAAATCCCCTCGTGGCTGCTATATATTCGGTTCGCGTAACTACATTCGCTAAGAAATTTAAATTAAAAGACTACTTTACTTTGAGTTTTTATTTAATTTTAATTTTATTGCCGAATTAAATTTGTTGCAGCAACCGCACAGTAAAAATGTCTATATCAGAAATGAATTGAACGTTCGGTTTTTCATTCGTATTATGTACCTGTGTGTTCCAAAAGGGCTACCAACATTACGACGGCGCTGAATAGTGCTGCTGTTGTGTATTGTTAGCGATGCCATTACAACATAGATATATGTTGGTGTAGGTGTCGTCTGGCGTTGCTAGTTGCAAAATGCCATTTTGTATCGCAGTCCGCAATATTTCACGGCGGCCCATGGTGTACTTTCGAACGGCGGACGCCATGGCCGGGTGTGTTGCGGCTGGTCCAGTGGATCTGGATGTCGGTTTCGGTGGCTCATTGATGCAGCGGGTTTTGCTCATTAACAGGACGTTTATGTGGCGAATGGCTTTAAGTCCTGCAGGTGTGCGTGTGGTGGTTGTTTGTCGGACCGTTCGGGATTGATGAGTTTCACTGTGTTGGTAGATACGTATTTTCTGCTGTTTGGCTGCCGCGGTGAGGTTCCATTTTATCTTTGCCCATAACTGGGTGATGGCTGAAGGTGCTGCGGTGTTCTCTTCAGGTACTGCCCTTCGAAGAGTATCTGCCGTGGGGCCACTAGATTGCGTCCGAGGTTTATCTTCGCGGCGGAAGCTTGCGTTGATTCGTGTTGGGCCGTATTCATGGCCAAAGCGATCTGGGTAGGCGGATATGGGTCTGGTTCGTTGGCGGCGTTGAGCTTCCGGTGATCTCTGTACATCCTCCGGCTTCTTTGCTTCTTGCGGACTTCGGCATTTATCACCTGTTGTGGGGGTAGTAGCGTTGTTTCAATGACCGGTTGTGCTTGAGGGCGATCACATGCTCAGCGGCGGTGCTGGATTCAGCGATGGTTCAGCTAACGCTCTTCTGGTGGCACATCAGAAATTCGGTCAGTAGTTAATACTGCTCTTTGCTCAAACGCTCTCTTTCGGTTGACGTGTACAGCTGGGATGGTGTGTACATCGTTTGCGGGGTGGTTGTAGGCAGTGGTTGGCCATCCAGCGTGAGTATGACTCCTCTATCCCCGAGGAAGTCCATCCCCAGAATGATGCGTTCAGCGATATTTGGGAGTGCTGAAGCAAGTTTGATCAGCGAGTTGCACATTGCGGTGCCTATGCCGAGGTCGTATCTTCTTATCTTGCAAGTGTTGGCGTATGGTTTCGATTGTGATTGTTGTGCGGGTGTCCAGAAGTGCGCGCACGCTCATGCCCTCAATAATGACATTAATGTAGTAGTGGCCATGTATTTTTCCCCCTTGGTGTGCGTTAGTGTCCGCGGGAGCTTCTGCGTATTTTGACGGGCGGCTTAACGATGGTGGTGTTGCACGGACAGTCTCTCGAGAGGATGTTGTCTCGGCCGCACATGGGGCAGAACAGTCTTTTCGCTCTTTGGTATCGGAAACGGCGGTGTCCGCGCCCTTTGCAACGCCAACAGGATTCCTCTCGACTATACCCCTCTTCCATGGTGGCTATGGTGTGTGCCGCCTATCTAACATTTCTGCCCTCTTCACCCTTCAAGAGCTCGAATTCGTCGGTCAGATCCATCAGCTCCTTGATCGTCTTAAACTCTCTCCGCTTAACAAAGAGGCGGTATTCCAAGCATAAGCCATCGTAGATGCGTTCCAGGTGGTCCTCTCCACACATATTGGGGTGTTGGCGTATCAGTGTTTGTGGCGCCAGGCCACAACAGGCTTTGTTGGAGTCGCTGCCGGATGACACCCTCCACCTGGCTCATGTATCGGCTTGGGAGGAAAAACCGCTTTACTTCTGTACAGAATACTGCCCACGAGTGGATTTTTGGCTTTCGCACGCGAAACCATTGGAGGGCTTCCCGCGTAACACTAGGGTTGCGAGGAGGGTGTCTACTGGGATGCGGTAGCCTCGGCTAGTTCTTCGATTCTCTCCAGGAAGTCGCGTAGCGCGTCGCCTCACGAAAAGTGTACGTCCCAGCGGCGGACAGTATTCATCAGCCCGACGTCGCTGATCTCGTTATTTTGTATACTTCATTTCTTCTGGCTGTGGACTAAAGTTGTTGATACGTACGGTGAGAATAGTGCTGAATTGCAGCTTTACTGCAATTTCTGCCTTAATCTCCTCTTCCAGGTCTGTCAGTAGATACTCTGTTGATAAGCGGTGTCGCTTCGCTTTTACATATGCGCTAAGCGCGTTGCGCAGGTAGGCGACTGCCGCTTGCACTCCTCTATTAACTTCTCCTTCTTTAGCAGGTATATCCAGCTGAGGGAGTCGATGTTCAGCGTATTGGTGTTGCTTTCGCTGGCGTGTGTGTCATCTGTTGGTTGTGGTGTATTCGGTGAGCCCGCTTCCGCAGTGCTAAATTTTTTTCACATACGCCTGCAATGCTGGTTCCCTGTTTGGGCGCAATTTATGAGGTGGGTTTTGTCGAAGGCTGAGTTGAACTCAGCCCATCCAGAGTCCAGCGAAAGCCCCACTAACCCCCACCAAATAAAACACACTATTCTCGTGTATTTACTTCGAACACGCACACACACACAGCGCTATGACTAGATTGCCAGCAACCATATGTTCAAAGAGAGGTAGAGAGAGAGTATGGTGACGTTCGTTGTCGTCGAGCGGTCTGGTCGGAGCGGATGACGGTGACTACTAAGATTCGAGTCGTGAGAGCACGGCAAATGGCTCTCCGGAACGACAGAGTAACTGGTGAGCAACGTTGAGGGCGGTGGCGGCGTGTGTGTCTCAACGACGGCGGAGTAACGGCTGAGCTACGTTGAGGGCGCTAGCAGTACGGCGGGTGGTTCTGAGCAACTGTTGAGCAACGGTGAGGGCGCTAGCAGCACGGCGGGTGACTCTCAGCAGCGGCGAAGCAACTGTTAAGCAACGGTGAGGGCGCTAGCAGCACGGAGCGTGAATCGCGGCAGTGGCGAAGCAAATGTTGAGCAACGGTGAGGGCGCTATCAGCAAGGCGGGTGACTCTCAGCTCAGTGGGTGATTTTCAGCAACGACGGAGCAACGGTGACCAGCGGCGGCGGCCCGACGGGTGATCTTCGCCAGCGGGTGATTTGTAACAGCAACGGATTGTTCGTTCTGGTACGCGGCGGCTCGCCAACCGATGGAGCGCAACGACGTGGCAAGACTCACTTAGGTACCACCGTTCCCATAATCGCACAATACGTGAGTAGGGGCTGGCACGATGAATTCTCAAGCCGAGCCCGGAGCAACGAGTATAAAAAGCTGAACAAGTGCGCAGTCGAGTGAGTCTGTCTAGGTAAGCATTTGGCTTATCTAGTCGGTTGGCGTCTAGTGGTGTTTGCTTTTTGGGAGTAGCAAAAGGGGAGCGCAGGGTGCGCCAGAGATTCTATTTCCGTCGAAATAAAAAGACGAGGAATTTTAATATTACAATTACTTCGCAAACTGGCGAATTCTATTAAGTTCGGACTCATGTCCGCCTGCGCCTGTGCCAGGTTGAGCAACTCTTGCAACTTGTCGAGGGTCAGCACCGCCCGGTTGAATAAATCGCGGATACGCCTATGGACCGCAGTATTGCCGCTGTGAGCTGGCTTTGCGGCTGGTTTGATCACACGGCTGGCTAGAGTCGATCGTACACGGCGAACTTATGCGTGCGAGTCAGTACGGCGAGTGCTTTCTGGTGGTG